TAAGCATTTGCTTATCTATGTTGCCCTCTGAACTTCTGCTACAGAATAAAATGAACTCTTTATGCCTAAGTCACAAATTCCAGAGTTTCACCTCTGTTAAAACCTTATAGGAGGGTTGAGGTTTGTGGTTCTACAAAAAAAGTGTAATGAAGCTAGAGCTGAAAGAAGTTTGTATTAGGGTTAAAGAATAAGTGTGTGCAAGAGTACCAGAATACTACTATAACTTTTATCCCCAGCACTGCTCCCTAGTAGTGTACTGACTATGCGGGCAGCTCGTCTGCTTCCTGTCCTCGATACATAGTCATGTTAAGATCAAAGACACATATTGCCAGAGTTGACTGAGAGAGATAGCCGGGGGACCCTGTTGTGAATCCTTATGTTGCGTAAGTTGAGGAATTTAGTTATTAAGCTATATGGGAAAATGGCATCAAAACTCTTTATTAACTCTTTATTTACTCTCCCGTAGAAAATGCACCGAGAATAAAGGATGCTTTGTATGTCTCCACCCAATATCCTACATAAATAAAATACATAATCCCCTTGTTTCTAGATTTATGGTGGACATATGTGAATACTGACTGCTTGTAGAAATTTACTTTCACATTTGAATAAAAACTCTAACTCTATTACCAGTTCCCCCAACATTATCGGAACCACAACAGTGAACATTTAGCCATAATACTCACAATTTTTCCTGGTAGGGGACTATCTCACCCCAGCTGTCCACCTCTGCTGATCCCCCTCTCAGTCTGGATATATGAGTTATCTCAGGACTGACGTCAGAAGCAGCCCACATCCTCCCCAACCTGCCCAACTCCTGAATCCATTATGTTAATTTCTTTGAGGCAGCAGCTTTTAATGACTCACATGTAACTTATCTTTTCAAGTTCCATTTAATTCTTAATAAAGAAAGGAAAAGGCTAGGTCTTTTCTCATCCTTTATATTACTGCGTATTTGAGATGTACGCTATACCTCCTTATGAGTTCATTTGCACCTACATTGATTATTTTTCTATCTCCCCTGCCAACATTTCCTCATGAAGTGTACTTGAGGACTAACGTGGTGCTTTTGCAGTTATGGAGTAAATTATGTGAGGAGGCACCAAGAATATGTAGAAGCAGAGCACTAAACTGAACTGTGGTAACAAATGTTACTAAACAGCAATTTGCACACACAATTTTTTTTTTATTATACAGAGATGTGAAAAGAGGATTTTTTGGGGGAAAATTGAGTTTTTTAGGCACTCTAAACGATAATTCACGTGGAACGTTTCTTTATATAAAAAGTATACATTTTATTAAATGTATAATTAAAAAAGTAACTCACAATATAAAAAGAGACAACCTGGGAGGAACACCTCCAATATCCACCAGAGCCCTGAGTATTAACTGGTTGAGACTAGTTAATTGTTTTTTTTGTTGATCATTATTATTACCTAGCGCAACATACTAGCAATTGATGTTCACGGGTTTCACCATATATTGTTGCAGCTGGCAACTTTTTAGACACTTTATATTACTCCTAGCGCAACTATTTGTTGTTACATAATCCGCTCATACTGCTACCCGTGTACCAACCATTGGCTGCTGATTCACCGACTACTGTCATTGTCTACCACTTCATACTTGATACCTACTACTGACCTCGGCTTCATCTCTGACTACGCTCCTGACCTCGGCTTCATCTCTGACTACTCTTCTGCCTGCTCCTATACTACTACCGTCTGCTTCTGTACCGAACTCGGCCTGTTTGACTACGACTTTGCCTGCTGTTACAGCTACTGGACTCCGAGCCTGATCCAGATCTTGACAGCCCCAGGGCTTGTGGGGAAGAGGCCCTTGTCCCCATTGGCACAGGGACAAGGTGCCTTTCCAGGTGCGACCTTGGAAAAGTGCCCTTCCAGTGCCGAGGGCATGTGGTTTGGTATGGCAAGGTGGGGGCTCTCGCCCCCCCCCCTTTCCTGCCCTGCCAGGCCTGTGCTCAGGTCAAGGGTCTGGTCTGGAATTTTAGGGTGTCCACGTCTTTTTTCCCCCAAATCATAATCATTTTCCCCGTCTTTTTTTTGGGGTCCCTGCTTAAAATTCCTACTAAACCTTAAGGGCCTGGTATGACTTTGAGGGGGAACCCCACACACTTTTTTTTTAATTGTAACTTGGGGTCCCATAAAATTGCATTGAGTTCGAAGTTCGAGTTAGAAATGTTTTCATGTTCGAAAGTTCAAACTCAAACCGAAGGCGGGTGTGTTCGCCCCATCACTACTCCTCATTTCCTGCATCCTGGCAGGCTCTGAGTGCCATAATCAGAGCCTCGCTGAAGAAACTTTGCCTTACTGGGTACAGCAAGACCATTTTTTAAATTTTATGCGGACTTCAATGTGGTAACGGATGTGGTACAGTTGGACTGCCTACACATAACCTTGGCGGTGATAAAGTACTTACTTACAATTAAGAACTTTATTCATCCGTGTGTTTTCAAATAAGCTACCTCAACATAATATTAAATGAGTGACCCCAGCAGTGTGAGGTATTGGCTCTTGGCGACTTCTTGCGATATCGTGCGGCGGAAATTGCGCGATAAAACGCCCAGTATGAATGGGCACTTATAAACTCAATAAAACACATACACATACATGCAATTATTAAAACACACACATTACACACACACAGAACTACTAATAAAAATGAATAATTAAAACATTGCCCTCTCATAGGCAGATTAGATGGCCGCTCGCGGGGGCCTCCCGGGGTCCTAGTGAGGAGGAAGCAGTCATCTAACCTGCCTGTTTATTGGCCGCCACTGCCTGATTGTGACTGGCCCAGATCGCGTACCAAGGCGATACTGGTCAGTCGGATCTATTTCAATTGGTGGTCCCTGAACCTGGGCTCGCGTGCCAGCAGAAAGGGCCTCACATGCCCTCCCTGGCACGCGTGCCATAGGTCCGCCACCACTGATCTAGGACAACATAGCTGTATATATATATAAATATATTTATAGATGAGCCATAAAAATATTTTTTAAATAGCATGCCATTCTTTTAGATCTTCTAGAATGGGTGAAGAAAAACTAAAAATGGATTCTTAGCATTTAATTAGCTTGCTTGTTAATTGAACAAAATACTGAACAGCAAAGCAGGAAAGAATGCAAAACATTGAATGCAGATATATTTTATTGTCAAATAATAGCAGATCTTTTAGTGCAATAAGGAGGCCTGTTACAATGCCAATTCACAAATATTTCCTGTCAGGATACTTATTAAAGATTATCTAAACCTAAAAAAGGAAGATGCAATATATTTCAGCTTACCAGTTCTTAGATGTGGTAACTGCATTCGTTTTTGTTTTTCGTTCAGGCTTTTTTTATTTTCTTCTGGTGATCCTGAGATTAACACACTTCCTATCCTTGGGCGGCTATGCTCATTCACTTCAATGTAGCTATAGAGGAGCCATGGTTGTCACCCTAGGCTGCTCTCCTGATCACATCCTCCTCTCCTTATTTCCATTACATGGGGAATGGAGGGACCTGTAGTTTACAGAGGATTGCTTGGAAGGACAATAACATTGTGATTTTAAGTTCAATTCGGAGGAAGTGACAAGGACTTCTGGCATATCTGGCAAGATCAATAGGTTTTTTTAATGTAATTGCTGGAAATGTTCTTAGTCTGAAAAATGAAATCTTATGCAGCTACCACATCTAAGGAATGGTAAGATGCAATGCATTTTTGTTCTTAGCTTTAGATATCCTTTAATGAAGGACTTTTCCATATGAATGCTAGGTTACTGCACCCACAACTGCTTGTTTGTGTGAGATACCGAGGCACCTAGCTTGTTTTTTGGCATGTCACCTTCCCCTCCAATACTGAAATGTCAGTTTTGGGTTGGCAAAGCTTTTAAATATGTGTAATTATAATATGCAATAATAAATGTGAACTGTACATGTATTTAAGGTGTGCTCATGTCAAACATGAAGATTTGGCATGTAAATTGTGGCCTACCTGCTATGTATCTCTTTAGATTCAGTTCTAAATTTCTAATAAAATAAAATCAACTCCTGTTATACTTGTCTGAAGTTATACTTTATTGAAGTTCAGCCTTAAACATATTAATAATGACTTTAGAAATTACTTTAACATAGGGCTAGGCAATCTCCACACTCCAGCTGTGATTAAACATCAAATACCATTATGCCTTTGCCTCTGGGAGTCATGCCTGTGGCTATGAGAGTCTTGCAGTGCATCATGGGACTTATAGTTCCACAACAGCTTGAGTGCTGAGGTTGCCTACCCATGCTTTAACATGATATGAGATTTTAGTGATTTGGTTTACATACAGATTAAATCGGTCACCTTGTCATTTATAGGCCATTATAAAGTCAACTCTGATGATACTCCACATCAGCAGGCAAGTCAAGCATTCTACATTAAGGCTACAGATACCCCCTGAAAAAGCCCAGGCATCTTTATCCAATGTCTGGTATAATGTATGTAGCTCTCCGAATGATCAATGACTGAATATTCGAATGCAATGTTGTGAGCATCCAATTCATTCTATGTAACTCTATGGGGTTGATTTACTAACCTTATAAACACACCACAAACATGTATACACCTCTGTAGTGTGTTCCCTCCCAGCATGATCTATGGGTGGAATCTAAACACCTTTGTAGTGTGTACACACCCAGCAGGTGTGTTGTGCAAAGCCCTGCCCTGAATTGCAAGGTGATGTTGTGTAAATTAGCTCTACATTGTGTTGCTTGCGTTGATGAATGCAGGAATGTAAATGCATGAGCTAACCATTTTTGTCTAAACTGTGAAGCAGCATTATATATGCATCATGTGCATGATTTTTCCATATATGGCATTAGTGGAAATATGCTTTTAGAGACTTTTTGGTTGATAAATACGTTTTGCTGTGTGAAAATCACACGCACCTGGTATGTGCGTGTGTTTAGGTTAGTAAATCACTCCCTATAAGTTGGATTTTTACATTGGGGGTTACTAGCATGCCCTGCCTATCCCAGAAAACATACTGCATAGGTGAATAGAGCTGTGGTTGTGTTCCAGCCATAAGCTAAATGAGAGATTGCTATATGAAGAGATCCTAATAGATGTAATGCAGACGAAGCCATCAAATGTGTCGAGCTCCTTGTTTCATCTCTGGCTGAGAACCGGTCTCTGCAAGACAAATATAAAATAATGATTTCTCTTGAATCACATACAATGTAAACATCTTCACTGAAGTGCGTCTCAAAGCAGTCCTCAAAAGTGTAATGTTCCATTTCCACAAGAGGATTACTCAGACATCTTTAAATACTATTACCATTGATCCGCCTGGGCTAATGAGCACGCAATATTCCCAGGAGTTGGGGAAGTGGAGGATTAGTTTATGATTGGGTCTCTTGAATGCCTTATTTTTTACCAGAAGTAATTTTAGTATGAATGCCTTTTCTTAACACTGAACTCTAACTTTACCTTCAGTCTTACACAGTTGTACCGGCTCCTCTTCTGTACTGAAAATGCTTACTCTGATTTCACTGCACACTGTGATATTCTCACAGGGTGCATTAGAAGCAGCAGCCAGTTGCATAGAGGTTGCCTCATTTCCTGGATGGAGGACTTCCAACATCATCTTGCAATTTCTTCTCCAGCCCTACTGTTTCTGGCCCGCCTCTTTCATTCATGGGATTCCAGTTCCTTCAGCATCACATGTGGGTGTTTTCTAGGGTGGTGCATGCAAATGCAGCCTGCCTAGGAGTGCCTACTCCTCCAAACTGACATCTATCCATCAAGGCATTTTGATATTTGATAACTCCTTCCAAGAGTCAGCCCACTGCTTGCATCAGGAGTGAGGGTTCGTGAGTGAATTACTGAGTCAGGGTGCTGTAATGTTTTCAGAAAGCTATGTACATCACCCTGTCCCTCCCACTAGATATGATCTGAACCCCAGTTCCTGTGTTTTCGTGCACAGTTGAGTCGCTTAGCCTTGTCAGAGGTAAGGCTTTTTGGCTGCAAGGCTGCAGAAAAATGGCACCAGGCACCAGGTGCTCTGGACTGACTGAAAATGTGAAATGTTTGGTTGTAGCAGGAGGTAGTTTGTTCAATGAAGGGCCGGAAAGCGGTACAATAATGGGTGTCTGCACCAACAGTGAAGCATGCTGGAGGTTCCTTGCAAGTCTGGGGCTGCATTTCTGCCAATGGTGTTGGAGATTTGGTCAGGATCAATGGTGTCCTCAAGTCTGAGAAGTACAAGTAGACACTTATCCATCATTCCATACCATCAGGAAGGCATGTGATTGGCCCCAAATTTATTCTGCAGCAGGACAACAACCTCAAGCATACAGCCAATGTCATTAAGAAGTTAGAACTATCTTCAGCATAAAGAAGAACAAGGAGTCCAGGAAGTAATGGTTTGGCCCTCACAGAGCCCTGATCTCAACATTATCGAGTCTAGCTGGGATTACATGAAGAGATAGAAGGATTTAAGAAAGCTGACATCCACACATGATCTGTGGTTAGTTCTCCAAGATGTCTGGAACAACCAACCTGCCGAGTTCCTTCAAAAACTGTGTGCAAGTGTACCTAGAATAATTGCTGCTGTTTTGAAGGCAAAGGGTGGTCACACCAAATACTGATTTGATTTGGATTTCTCTTCTGTTCATTTACTTTCCATTTTGTTAAATGATAAAAATAAACTAATAACACTTTTATTTCTGAAATCATTCTCACCTTACAGCATTTTTTCACAACTGCCTAAAACGTTTGCACAATACTGTATGTTATCAAAACGGAAAGGTTTTCTTTAAAAATTTAACCAGCGTGTTGATGTGGGATGAGAGTGGGAGGGAAGGCAAATCATATTGAGAGCCCCTGCTTGTGGCAGTGTGGTTCTTGGATGTAAAGCTCGTGTTCGACCCAGCGGGTGTCTCTTCACGGTTAGAAACCAGAGCACCTGCTGGTGGCACTGTGATGCTTGGATCTGAAATTGTAGTTCCAGTGTCCACCAGCAGGTGCTCTGGTTCCTGACTTTTGAGAGACACCCGCTGGTGAACACTGAAATTTGAAGCTTCAGATACAAGCACCACAGTACCACCAGCAGGTGATCTGGTTCCTTACAATAAGTAGATCAAACTTCAGCTTTAAGGAATTTTTGAGGGCAGTCTCTTTATTGACATGCCAAATGTTTTAAATCCATTCCTTCCATAATGAACCAGTGGTGGGCTGGGGGACAAACATTTTTGAGCTATGAGTTTTCAGGATGCAAATAAGAGTCTGGAGACTGGTATGTGAAATTTAAATGCCTGATTTTTACACTTAAAGTATCTGGACACATCAGCCATGGTTTTTAATCTTAAACATTAATATACGGCTCTTACAGCAAAGATGCGATCTGCCTTTCTGTTCTTTCCATTTGGATTACGCTGGGTCAGGGAGCCTCGATAAAGAGCATTTCTTTCAATGGGCCCGTCTGAAATGACAGAATAATAACAAAGCTTGAAAAGAAGCAAAACATAAATAGAAAATAATTAAACGATCCATTTTTTTAGCTGAATTCTTTCATCTATGTTTTCAAATAAAAACTGCATGCACTGCTGTCAGCTTGTAATATGTGACCATATTGGGCCATTGTGTTACTGAAAATTATTCAGCAGACTTTTCAAACGCGTCTTCTTTGGAGAAGGAGCAAATTTGAGATCACATATGCTTAGTAAAATAGAGTAAATATTTTAGGGTAAAATAGCAATGTATACAGAAAACTAGAGGTGCACCGAAATGAAATTTTTAAAACCGAAACTAAATAAAACAAATGCCAAGCTGAAACCGAAATTTTTTTCTAACCTTTTTAAATAAAAAAAATATATATATATTTTTGAGTTTGCATGTTCTCCCTGTGCTTGCATGGGCTTCCTCAGGGTATTCCGTTTTCATCCCACAAAATCGGCTCTTAATGGGCTCCTGTCTAAATCATGTGAGATAGAGACCTCAGACTGTAAGCTCCTTGAATGTGCTCTGTGTAAAGCCCTGCGTAAATTGTTGGCGCCATATACGTACCTGTATTAAATGTTTTGTCTTTCCTTACCTGAAGGGACTTGCACTATGCCGTTTTTCTATATCGTGTATACATGACATACGTGGACATTTGGAATGGGGGAGTGTTTTTGTCTCTTTCATTCTTTTATGGAGTTTTGTCAAATATCTTCTTTTAACCACCTGACCCAACCCTAGGGAACCATTACTACTGTAACACAGAGCATTGCAATGTTTTTCTATGTTGAGGTGCATTGGTCAGACCATTCCAATTATTTGGCTGTCAATACACATCAAGCCATGAAAAAATAGGTCCTGCACAATTTTCTTTAACACAGAGCAATGCAGAAAACAGAACATATGCATCTGTAGTCACCATCACCTTTTGTGAAGTGGCTACTAGAAATTTAGTTATTGCCAGGGCTGGAGTCGGTCTGGCTGGATTATAGTTGGCATTTATCTGGTTAATTCCAGGTGTCTGGCATTGATGGTACCTACCTGGGTGGAGTGTGACTCTGCTGTAGTATGGGATGGCCAATGGGGGACACTGTAGTGTATGTGCAGTTCACCAGCTAATCACTGGGTATGCTGGAGGGAATTGCCATGTGCTCAGTCTAGTGCTGTGCCAGAAATGGATTAGTACAGGGCTGGGTGCTGTCCATCCACCCCCTGGCTAGGCCTGAGGCCTGGGGATGGGCCGATGCTGGAGTGCAGGAAGTGTTTCGCTAGGCCTCAGTTATGGAGGAGGCCTGTGCCGTTGCTAAAGGAGGAGAACCAGGAAAGCTGATGGCTGCTGGAGGTACCCGGAACATAGTGGACTTTAGGAGCAAGTCTGGTGTCTCTCCTGTTAAGGATCGGTGCTCATCCCTGCCCACCTGCTACTCAAATTCCTATACGAATGGATCTACATTGAATTGCTAGAAAGGACTGGTGAGTCCGGAGTCTATGTCTGTATTACCCTAGATGTCTAGGGTCCCTATACCCTCTCTCCCCAGTGTGAAGATGTTAATAAAAGTTCTTCAGCAGTATACTTCTGGAGTGGATATCAGCTTTGTGGGCACTAGAAGAGGGCGGTTAAATGCCATTGGAGGCAGCTGAAGACCAAAACCACTAGACAATTACCGGTAGTGATGACACGGGTTATTTTGGTGGCAGTACACATCATTGTAGCACAATGTCTCTGTCTCTACTAGGTCTCTAGGTCTCTACTAGGTCTCTACTAGGTATCTGCAAGACTTTACCCTGTACAAAGCTGCCATGATAAAATATAACTCCTCCCTCCGTGCTGCCAAACAAACTTATTTTGTCACTCTCATTAACACACTCTCATCCAGACCTCGTCAACTCTTTTCTACCTTCAAGTCTCTACTATGTCCTCCACCACCACCACCACCCACTAACTCACTCACTGCCCAGGACATTGCCATTCATTTCAAAAACAAAATAGATACCATTCGAGATCAGATTGCCACTGTCCAATCAACTGCTCCTTTTATTATAGTACCTGATCCTCCATCACACTTGTTACTTTCCTCTTTTGAGCCTGTCACCACAGAGGAGGTTACTAAGCTTCTCTCTGACACCCACCTCATCACTTGCCCCCTGGACCCTGTTCCCTCAAAACGTCTTGTCTTGAATTGTATTGTATCTGTAATGTCTTCCTTATATTGTAAAGCGCTGCACAAACTGTTGGCGCTATATAAATACTATGTAATAATAATAATAATAATAATGTGCATTGGGGTTGCAATAAACTTTGCATTGAAATGTACATCTACAGTGAGCTACTGTGAGCTGAGTGTTATAACTTGGGTCATGATGCATGTTATGGTGTGAACGAGCCCTAACAGTATACTGATATCTTAAAGGAGAACTATGAGGTGAGTGATTTTCACTCAACCTCATAGTTTGAGCCGACGTGTGACAATGAAACTGTCACACGTCGGCTCATTAGATCGGGAAGTGAGCGAACACATACCATCGCTCGCTCACTTCTTGATCATGTCCCTGCAGAGAGCCATGATTATCACTCACGGCTCCCTGGAGGGATTCCCCCCTCCCCGCTCTGATCTTCCAGCGCTGACTGGCGGAACGGACGGAGGAGGGGGCGGGTACAGCTGGCTCTGCCTCTAGATAGGCAGAGCCAGCTGTCAATCACACAGCTGGGTGGATCTCGACAGTAATGTCGGGATCCGTCCAAGCTGCGGCGGTCTCAGTATACCGCGAGCTGTAGCTCACGGTATACTGAGCTTTGGGTCATGGGAGGACGCTAGTTTTTGTCCTCCCGTAACCCTTAGGAGAATTATGGGGAAAAACACTTATCCCATAGTTCTCCTTTTAATGATGGGTATCTGATGTGCTAGTGCTGATCTTTGGCAAGAATTTCCTGCATGTAAACAAATTAATGTTGTAGCACATAAAAAAATGTTAATTTTGGAGGGGTCAAACAGGATATGAATTTATTGTTACCATAAACCTGCACTGAATCTTCTGCACCAAATGCAACCAATCCTCTACTGACATCATGTATAAGAGGAGCAACTACAGTCGCTTGCCTTTTCTTAACTATCATGCAGTTAGACAGAAAATTGAGTCCAGTTTAAGAAATGTAATAATTAGTGTGAGATAAACCTCCAGGCCTATGGTGAGGTTAATTAAAGTCCTCACAGGTCAGGCTACTCCAGCTATTTATAGCAACATTTAAAAGTTTTGCTGCACAGTAAAAACTGTGAGTCAGGAGGGTTTGTTATCTGGATCCACAGGACTAAATGGCAATAGGTTTTGGATGTATTGTTACTAGGAAAAAAAAACATGCGGTCACATGAAGGCAAAGAGAAGAGTGAATAGTGCTACAAGTTTCAGAGTTAGAGATTTAAAAAGACTAATGCCCCATTCACATGGGATTCCTGCATTGAGAACCTATCGATTCCAGCGGCACACATTGAAGTAAATGACAGTTGCCACATCTGTCAGTGTCATAAGATGATTTCCGCTGGATGCATCTATCCTGCGTCCAAGGACAATCATCTGTCCCAAGCCGTATGTAATCGTATCATGTATGATTGCCCACGGACTGCTGCTGACAGATGTTGCTGCTGTCACCCTTTCATTCACTTCAATGTGTACAATGCCAGCATGTGAACGGGGATACCTGGCATTCCCTCCACAGAAATCTGTAGGTTCTTGCCGCACAAATGTCTTAGGGCCTTAGGGCCTGTTCACACATACTGCGGTGACCTGCCTTGTACTGCACTGTATCCACGCAGATCACTGTAACAACACAGAAAACAATTGTTTTCTAAAGGGTCTATTCACTAAGCTGCCGAAGGATCTATCCTTCGGCTAGCTTCGGCCCCAGGACCCCTTCGGTTCAGTAGAACCGAAGGGCTGCTGTACGTGCTATTCACTATAGCCCGTACAGCTCCCGAACGTGGCCGAGCGGCTCAGACGAGCCGAACGCATATCCATCAGCTCGGCTGAGCCGTGCTGAAAGCCGACAGCCTGCTTCTGGCAGCTGGGCGGAGCCAGCCGTGATCTTACGGCTGGCTCCGGCCACTTGCAGAGAGATCAGCGTCCCTGGTTACCTGCTAACCAGGGACACTGATCTCCAAATAGCTAACTCTCCCTGGCGCTCCGGGAGTCTCCTGCTCCTGACCGCCAAGGAGAGAAACACTGCTTTTTTCTTTATTCTGACACGGAGCTGTCAGCAGCATTGCTAGATTCCTATTGGCTATTTCAATTTGCATTAGCCAATAATAAACAAGCATTGTACCCGCCCTCTGCTGCAGTTCTCCATCAGGTCCATCAGCAGAGGGCGGGTACAATGCTAGTTTACTATTGGCTATTGCAAATTGAAATAGCCAGTAGGAATCTAGCAATGCATTCCAATGGGCAAAAACGTTTTGTTTTTTTTCTATTCTGACATCGCCCCGTGCCAGAATAAAGAAGAAAAAAGATCAATCAGTGTTTCTCTCCTGTGCGGCCGGGAGACTTTTTTTTTCTTTTTTTTTTCTTTTTATGGCAGCAGAACTAAGTTTTGCTGCACAGTAAAAACTGTGAGTCAGGAGGGTTTGTTATCTGGATCCACAGGACTAAATGGCAATAGGTTTTGGATGTATTGTTACTAGGAAAAAAAAACATGCGGTCACATGAAGGCAAAGAGAAGAGTGAATAGTGCTACAAGTTTCAGAGTTAGAGATTTAAAAAGACTAATGCCCCATTCACATGGGATTCCTGCATTGAGAACCTATCGATTCCAGCGGCACACATTGAAGTAAATGACAGTTGCCACATCTGTCAGTGTCATAAGATGATTTCCGCTGGATGCATCTATCCTGCGTCCAAGGACAATCATCTGTCCCAAGCCGTATGTAATCGTATCATGTATGATTGCCCACGGACTGCTGCTGACAGATGTTGCTGCTGTCACCCTTTCATTCA